CACCCGGGGGGGTCCTCCCGCAGCCGATCACTGAGAGGGAAGTGGCTGTGCCCGCCTTTGGGAGCACCACGATGCTCCACTCCCTGGCCAGCACTAGCAAGGCAGGCATTGGCGCTCCCGCCTGCCACCCCTGTCCGTCACCTAAGTGGCGAGCGTGGCCGGTCAGAGGGTGCACCCCCATGCAACCCCTGTGTGTCGCCACTGGCTCGGATTGTGGGGCCATATGCAGGACTGTGGGGAAGGTGGGATTAGGGACCGTGTGGAGTTGGTGGGGGGGGGCAGGTTGCTCAGGGCATATATGCATGTATGTGGGCGGCAGTCCATATACAGGGGGCTGGCTGTGTACGAGGTTCGGAGAAGATAGGCCAAAGGATCAGGCGGGGTCACGTGGGGTTGAGAGCCACGTGAGATACTGGTTAGACCTGGCAGCAGACTTGCGGGGATTGGGGGTCTGCAGGCCAGGGGAGAGTGTGGGAGGTCTTGGTGGGGCAGGGGGCTGGAGGACCATATGGGGCTGGTGGCTTGGTGGACCCCAGGGATGGTGTGAGGGCAGGTTCCTGGGGTCTTCAGTGCGAGTGGACCCATGGAAGGGTGTTCTGGGATCTGGCCCACTTCGTGAGTCCAGGGTCAGGCAGGACAACCACATGGCTCTGCGATTGGAGTGAGGTTGGGGTGGGTGTGGGTGTAGAGCTGGAATGGCAGGCTTCTTACCACAGAGAGCCCAGGGAATGGGACATTGCCAGCAGGCCCTGTGCATAAGCAGTGGGAGAGTGAGAGTATAGGACCTAAGCTGCAGTGAGGACCCCTGCCTTGGCAGAGAAATGGCTGCCGAGCTGGGACCAGCACCACCTGTGGGTATCGTGTTGCCAGCACCCGTGCAGCCCCTAGTGCATACTGATGAGCAGGACACAGCAGGTCCTAAGTCTGAGGCAGGAGCTAGTAAGTCAGGGAAAGTCCCTTGCGTTGTCCAGGCCAGGACTGGCAGAAGGTTCCTTAGCTGCCAGCACCAGAAAAGATCAAGCAGGAGCCACAGGATGAGTTAGTCCAGTACTGGGAGGTACAGTGGCAGGAGGGGCTGCAGCCCCAGTGTCCCCCTACTGAAGTCAGATGACCCAGGGTTGTTGTACATGACACCAGGGGACACCCTCCCCAGCCTAGAGACATGGCACAAGCACTTTTGTGGCATCCACTACCAGGGAACCAAGGGGCTGTGGGAGGTTTACATCTGCCTGCAGGAACTGTGCTGGAGCCCCAGAACTGCAGGAAAGAGCAGAGCCTGGAGCTGCTACTGCTGCTGGGGCAGTACCTGGCCATCCTGCCCCAGGGGATGAAAGCTGGGTGTGGGGAAGTTGTGTGGAGATGTGTGCCGAGACAGTGGCCCTGGCCAAAGAGTTTCACCCTCCCCACAACCCACCATTATGAACCCACAGCCTCTCTCCCCACTTCGCTGGCAGGCAGCCAGAGGATGAGAAGCTCCAGGTTAGAGCATTTCACCATGATCATCTTTGATGCTGCCAGCCCTATCTCCACATATCTGGGGAATGTTCCTTCCCACCTCCATCTCTGCCAGTTTCCAGCTTCCCAGTGATGTGTTTGTCTTGTGCCTAAATTGCAGTGTGCAGGAAGTTCAAGGAGATGCCCTTGAATAAGATGATGCCCACTGGGGCATTGAGGAAACCTTGAATCCTGGCTGAAACCCCAGGACCCCCGAGTGAGTTTCCTTATCTCTCCAAAGAGGAATCCTTGCCTCACTGGGAGTTAGGTAATGTACCTGATACAGGGCAGGGGCCTGGGTACTAAGTGGCGCTGATCTTAGTGCCTACATGGCTTTTCAGCACCTGGAGTGTGGGGGTTGGTTAAATCTCACTGCTCATTTGTGGAGTGATGAGGTGGTCTCCCTCATGTGATGAGGTCTCAATCAATCTCTGTCACTGGGCATCTATGATGTGATGGCAGCAGCCATGGGAAAGATCCTTTTGTCTTGGCTAGGCATTGATTTTTACTATAGTAGCACTACAAAGGTCAAGTCCCACTCATCCTTCTTTCATGCCTGCCATTAGCCCTCTGTACCCAAGAATAGACTGGTGCAGGTGTCAGGGAAAATGATTTTCTCAGCAACTTTTGGTTGGTTCTGGTACAGTTAACTCCAGACCTCTGTCCTGCTGCAGATTCCCCTAATGCAGAGGAGACCTGGGACTCCTCAGGCTCATTCCCTAGGCCTAGACTCAGAAACAGGTAAGGAGTGGTGATTCTGCTCTTTCTAGCAGCAGGAGGCACTGCCCATCAGTGGAAAACTCTTCTCTGTGATGTTTTGTTGGGAGTTAATGCTCTAAAAGACTGTTTCCTCCTATTCTCCTGGCATTCCCCACACCTTGAAGGTGATGGTTATGGTCTTTCCCCTTCCTCTCCCCTGAAATATGGTTCGTGATGCAGCATCAGGATCTACCATGTTGTCTCCTTCAATCTGGGCACGTTCTGACGTAGTGCTGGGCTCTCTACTCTGGGCAGGCACAATGTCATTGGGGCTCATCCCCAGCTTCATGGCCAGGAAGGTCTATTAGCAAGAGCTGTGGGACTTTTGACACTTCCTTCTCCCTCCTCTCCCACATGCCGAGGTTTGTGGCACCTGTAGACACACAACAGCATAGGAGAATAGCAGTGCCTTTCCCATGGATTCTCTTCTTCCAGTGGGTACAGGGACCCTGAGCCAAGCTGATGAGCAGCCTCCTGAAGAAGGGACAGCAAACATGAAGCTGCTGAGGGTGTCCCCACAAGGATCAGGGGAGAGGGTCTGAGACTTGAGCTAGGCCAACTGCAGAAGAGGCAGGGCAGGCCCCTAAAGCAGAAAAAGAATATGGCAGTGAGGAAGATACTAGCTCCGGTGAGAGAGTCCCCAGAGCAGAGCCAGGGGTGCAGGGAAGAATTGAAGTAGCTGAGAGACTTGAAGATCCACAAGAGGAAGTTCTGCCAGAAAGGGGCTGAATCCACTGATTCTGGAAGCAATACCTCAGATACCTTTAAGGGATTCTCAAATGGGGAATTTTAAGACTGGGAGTTCCAGGAAAGAGGCTGTCTGGGAACTCTGTGCTTACATGCTCTCCAGGCACCTTGAGAGCCGGCTGGATTGTCAGACTAAGTGGGTAGTAATCAATGGCTTAATGTCTAGTTGGCAGTCAGTACCAAGTGGAGTGCCCCAGGGGTCAGTCCTGGGGTTGGTTTTGTTCAATATCTTCATTAACAATCTGGAAGATGGGATGGATTACACTGTCAGCAAGTTTGCAGATGACACCACGCTGAGGGGTGTAGTAGATGCACTGGAGGGTAGGGCTAGGATTCAGAGTGACTTAGACAAACTGAAGGATTGTGCCAAAATAAATCTTAAGAGGCTCAACAAGGACAAGTGCAACATCTTGCACTTAGGACAGAAGGATCCCATGCACTGCTATAGTGTGGGGACTGACTGGCTAAGCAGCAGCTCTGCAGAAAAGGACCTGGGGTTTGCAGTGTACAGTAAGATGGAGAGAAGTCAGCAGTGTGCCCTTGTCAAGAAAGCGAATTAATAGTGTACTGGGCTGCATTAGTAGGAGTGTTGCATTAGGGGTATACCATGTGTTGCTAAAGCTATGAATCCCACAGCCGATAGGGTATGCAGCTGTGATGTTGCATGGGGTGATGCCTTGGCTGTAAGTCCCATCAGCTGAGGGACTTGCAGCTGAGGGAACTTGCTACTTGCTGGTGCAGAGATAGCCCAGATTTCGATTTCGGGCTCCCCCTGCGTTGGCAGTAAGGGGCTCATCTACATGTTGCCCTCCATGATGTAGCAACATACTGCGTTGCTGTACAGCACAGTATGGTGATGTAGTGATCATGTGGATTTACATGCAATCACCAGCTATGTCGCCATAGCAGTACACTCCCCAGTTATAGCACACTGCTATGGCAACATAGCAGCGAAATCTACCCATGCACTGCATGCACGGTGCAGTAACAGCCTGTGCTGCACTGTGCTTTAGTACATCCAAAAGGAAGTACTAAAGCACGGCATCATAGCACCGTTGCCATACGGCGATGTGTATATGCACCCAAAATGTCATTGGATCTGATGCTGGATTGGCTCATTGGATGCTACCAAAATTAGATTGGACTGATCTCATTCAATCTTCTTTAATCTTAATAACCTTCTAGAGATTTTAAGGAAGTCACAAGACTCATTTTTTAATGAGTTATTCACTATTGCTTAAGTTGTAAGCTATAAAACGCACTTAATTCCTTGAATAATAAAATGAAAATTAGCAATAACTCTTTCAGAGGCAGATAAAAAAATCAAGGACCCAGTTTAGCAAGTACCTTAGTTCAGTGAAGCATGATAAAAGTCCAGATTTTTTACATGATGCAGTGCTGGACAGAGTGATTAGTTCAAGCTCTGGAATGCATTACTTCAGGTGCATGATAAACATATTAGCAATCCTGCCTTCTTCAGCAGGGCTAATAAACCCAGACAAAGAATTGAACCAATTCTGATCTTCTGGAAATAATGTGAATTCCTCCAAAAGTTACTTTGGATAGATTAAAGTAAGTTTAGC